CCTATCCTAACCCTAACCCGTACCTCTACCCCCCACAGCTCCTATCCTAACCCTAACCCTAACCCGTACCTCTACCCCCCACAGCTCCTTCTGTAGTCCCTCTACCTCTATCTCTATCTCACCACTGACTCTGATCAGGGTTTCTCCTCTGGATAGCTTATTGTCATAGTGATGAGAAATGTAATATTGTTTCTACTCTGTAAGTCGCTTTGGATAAAAGCGTCTGCCAAATGCATAAACATAAACATAAACATAAACACCATACAAATGATAATATTTGGTCATGCTTGACCCCAAAACTTCGAAAGATTCTAATTTTTTCATCTAAAGTTGTTTTTTAATACTTTTTATTTATGGTATTTTTTGTGAATTAAGGCAAGACAAATACAAATAAGAACAAAAACAGAAAATAAAGCTTGAGGTCATTAATGCGCATCACTGCAAATACAATACAATCAATACAGTACAATAGTCTGATTGACCTGTGTTGTTTGTTCTGTCATTCATGTAAACGGACCATTTTACCCATTTTCTGTCTCCAATTTCTTTTTGTAACCTTAAGGAATAGGTAATCTGCTCAATGAGATGTAAATGTTTTACTATTCCAACAAATGTGCCTTCTGTGGTTGTATCTTTCTAAAGCAAATATTTGGTAATTGCCTTTTTCCCTGCTGCAGTCATAATTTTTAAAAGATACTCATCATCATTTTTGTCTAATTCCTCAGGAAAATGACCAAAATACAGAAAAATAAATGTCACATCCACACTATAACCCAACACCTTATCATTAACTTCCATCTAAACAAAGTTGTCGATCAGCGTGAGATATTTCTCAGAAAGTGACACACGTAATGATGCTAACATCTCATGTAGCATCTTATCTGCTGAGATTTGTGCGGCTTGTGCCCTGGTCTCCATGGGAACCGTTCTGGGGAAGACCAACCCTGTCCAGCTCGTCTTCATTGCCCTGTTCAGCGTATCTGGATTTGTCCTGAATGAATGGATCCTCCGGACTCTCCTGAGCGTAAGATATAGTCTTCCGTAGTCCGTAGTGTCCTAAGAATAGATTTTGTCTGTAAAAACTGTGGATGTTCCCACCTCCAGGTCCGGCCCCTGAACAGCCTCATGCAGCTCCACGTCTTCGGGGCCTTTTTTGGACTCATGCTGACCTGGATCCTGCAGCGGGAAGGCACGGAGCAAGGATTTGAAAAGGAGAAGTTTGACCGAAAGTCCGGATTGTTTTCCATGTTAGGTGAACAGCAGCGGACTGTCTGTAACCTCAACTCGATGTTTAAATGTTTAAAGGCGACATACTATGCAAAACCAAGTTTTTAATAATTTGATTATCCCTTTAAAGCCTGATCCAAGAATAGAACAAAACAGAAAATTACTTTTTTTTGGTTTGAAGTCTTTATTTGGCCTTTTAACAAAATATGTAAAAGGAAAAAACAGAAATAGTTTTATAATATTAATCATTTATTACTATGCGATAAGTCAAGATTATTTTATTTCTGGTCTTCTGCCCCCTGTTATTAGGTGTATCTGATTGTGTACAATAGGATTTTGAGGAATTAAGCAAAAGGTGTCAGACGCAAAACATTTCAGAAACCGTATCAAATATGACACATTTGGCATTACAGGGTTATGTACATTTGGGACTGTGGAAGCCCTATCAGCAGGCAAAGTGTGAAAAAAAATGACTCAGTCATGTTTTTGTGGGCCGCCTCAGTCTGAATCCAGGAGATAAATCAGGAGGTTTCAGGAGTGGGTAGTTTCTGACGTCATTAGCTCTAGCTCATTATAATATTATTATTATTATTATATTAATATTATTATATATTATCCAGCTCATTATAATATTCCAGCCTTTCACCTGCATGTTGCCCCCCCCCTCA